TTTTTTGGCCTGGCATCAGCTGCCTTTCGGAGACTGGACTAGGAATAATAATTACGAGGAAACACAAAGAGAGAAGGAGAGGCAGCAGCTAACTAACTATTATTTACTAAAAAATACAGCAGAAGACAACCGCAGAGAGGAAAAAAAGCAGCAGCAAAAAGATATTCCGCGCGAACGTGACATGGCATAAGAAATAGTTATAAGTCCCCTCTGTTCCACTTCGCTATGCTCTCCTTTCTCGAGGAGCTTCGCAGGCAGATAATACAACTTAAACTCCACAAATGAGCTGGGCAGAGCTAGCAGAGATCTTATCCTTTCTATAGATAATAGTAATTAACAAAAGTACAAAACAAACTTAAATTAGTTTGTAGGGGGACTTAAACACTCGTTTCCACACAGCGAGGGCATTAGCGAGGACATTCAGAGGTGATATGTGAAGGAAGCTTCACTTGCCACGTTCACATGTGACTGTGACCTGTGACCTGTGACCTGTGACCTTTGACTGTAACCCTACCTCGTTCGAAAATTCTCTTGAAAATATTCGTAAACATTTGAAAATAAATATATAGCTCAAAATTGTTTCTTGCTTTCATAACTCATTTTGTATTGGCATAAATTCCAATTAAATAACGTCTTAATATACGTATTTAAATCCAGCAACAAGAAACGCATAATTCATCGTTAACCAAAACAGAAACAGAGAAACGAAGATCCACAGAAAGTATCAGACATCCAGCGACACATCTAGACAGACACGAGGAGGAGCCCACAAAGCAGCACTCGAGGGTTAGACATGTTAAATTGTCATAAGCCTCAAAAATTCCATTATGATTATTTACTCAAGTACCCGAAACCGCTGCACAGCACAGGCCACAGGCAGTAGGACCCAGTGCCTGGCCTGGCCTCCTCTCTGCGAAGATGAACATAAAACACGAAACACAAACACAGATAGAGATACAGAAACAGAAACAGAAACACGCAAACAAAACCCATGGATGTGGAGATAAGGAAACAAAGTTTTCTAAACGTATAAATCTGTTTGTCTTTGCTGCCAGGAGGACGGCACACGTCCTTGTATGGCCCTGTAAAAATTGTAAAATATTTTCAAACAGACACATAAACAAAGCTAATAAATGAGAACTTTTGCGCCGCGATACACACACAAGAACAAATCCCAATTTTACAAGGAAAAGGATATGAGGGAGCGGGACTCCAACTTGACTGAAAAGCGGGGAAAACCAGCAGGAGAAACAGAAACAAATCGCTGCAGGATATGCAGACAAGGCAAACAAGTTCGTGGTGGGGGGAATAATGCCCCAAAATGAAGAAAAACCTCTCGCGTCGAGCCGCAGAAGATTTTCCAACGTAAATATTTTCCCATTGCAGGCAACAACAAGCAGCACAAACGATATAAAGTGATACCAAACAAAACATGCCAGCAGTATGCGAAAACAGTCGAAAAAATGCGCCATTTATTTGTGTATTAAGTGATGATTTTTTGCGCTTTTCTCTGCCGTTTTATACCCATGGCGGCCATTTTGCCAGAGCTGCAACAAAATGGCGGCCACAAAAAAGCAAATTGCATTGCCTGATGAGTGTTAAGTGTGTGGGCGAGGTGGTGGGTGGGGGGTAAATGCAGGATGGGGGTTATCTGATGTCAGAGCACAGCACTGACGGGCAGTAGAGGGTATGCTAAGGGACCATTTATATCATTTTTACGCTGAATGTATGGCAGAAGTACTTGCAAAATATCTTTTAATATGTGGAATTTAATACAAATTTAGCTATAACCAAAGAAGAACTACGAACAGGCCTGTGGGAGTTTTCGGAGCAGCTCAACAGAAACAATAAAAAATACAAATTCGCATCAACCAAAAAGCAATCATCTTTATTTGTTTACTTCATGAAAAAAGTAGTTGAACCGAAAGTTTGGCCATTAAATGTTACCATAATTTCAGGGCTATAAATAAAAGACATGGAACAAGTACATTTGCGGGGCTCTGCCGCCGCATGACGCACAAGGCGAACCGAGGCAAAATATGCTGAGGTTCTTCCAGATACGCTCTTTCCTCTCCTCTATTGATTTTAGCTTCAGTTTAGTATCCTTTCCATTTCCGTTGAGCCCTTTCGAGGGTATTTTTCAGCCGTGATCACACAATGCCTACTCTCGGGTGTTCTTTATGTTTTGTTCAGTTTTGGTTTTTGTTATGTTTTTCTCGCATTTTTTTGAGTTTTTGTTGGTATTATTTTTGAGTAATATGCGCAATGCATCAGGCTCAGACGCAGACCCGTAGCCGGCAATCAGGCTGGGGGCATTGTTATTGTAGTGGTTTAAACACCACACAACACACACACACACACACACCCTACACTACACTACGAGTACACTCTTGACATATTCGTGCTGTCTGCTGGGATTTGTGGCCTTTAATTTTTGGTAGCCATTTACAAAACAGAACCCCTCGGCCCCCGTCCTTAGTCGGAAATGTCTGTCCAACTGCAGTGTGTAATGCAATTGCCAGATTCAGAAGCCAGGAACACGAACAGGCGAGGCTGAGTCACAGCCTGGGCGTGGCTCTGGCTCATTTTTCGTGGCCTCTTTTGTGTGTGTGTGGGGGGGGGGGGTTGGCAGGGAAAATCATTTTAAATGCCTGGGCAACGTCTCGCTTTTGATGAGGATGCTTTTCCAACCGAAAAGTGTTTTATGTTTGCACTTTGCTTGGCGGATAAGGCCTCAGCAGCCCACTGTGTTTAGCTCTGAAATATGACTCAACACTCAGGACGAAAACTACAAGAAGATTGAAAAATTATGAAAATGTGCAGGCGTGTAAGCATTAATTACACAATTACTTACATAAATGCCAGCACGTGCAATATTCGATCGATAAGTAGAGTGCGGAGTGCACTATGGTTGATGCAGTGCCCCCGAAATTAAAATCAAAATGGCATCGAATAATAATGTAAAGCTCTCTCATGTTCACTTAAATCTTTCATTGAGAGCTCCACTCGATAGTTTTACTCTCTCTCTCTCTCTCTCTCTCTGTAGCTCTCTGACTGTTTCTGCCCTAACAATTTTGGGTTAAATTTTGCGTAAACATTTCCAGGGCACTCGACTAATACACAGGCGCTTACACCTGCCGCTCGTGTGTGAGTGCGTATTTGTGGCGCTTTATCTAAACTAACAATCGGTAAAGAGGAACAAAGAGATACAAGAGAGTGAGCTGCTGCTAAGTGGATACTCGACTTGTACTCATCGTATGCCACATGCCCTCCCTACCAACTTGCCATGGTAACACTCTGCTATTTTATGGATACCCTTGCTCTAAAATTTGCAGCGGAGATTATAGAGCCTTTACTTGAAGTCCCTAGATGTGCGGCCCGAACAGCCAAGCATCGATATTTGGCAGTGTATCCCAGAGCTAGGCTTTTATTTCGCTATTTTTCTGTTCTCTATTTTACTTGCTACTTTACGTAGCCGACACAGATGCACATGACTTGGAAAAACAAATTGCGCTGCACTTTTCCACAGCCGCCCCATAGCCGGCTCTGTTGGGGTTTTCACCTGTGGAGATTTATGACACCAAATAACCCCATTTCGAGTCGAGGCTACAGAACAGAACAGAACAGAGCAGAACGAAAACACCTTGTCAACCCCTTTCGTGTGCTAGATTTTTGTACATTTTCGTGCTACATTTTAATTTCTCTGCGTTGGGTAAAGTAGTGGTGAGAGTAGGGTGGGGGGTTTGTGGGTGTGCTGGGTGTGCTGGGAAAACTCATTAACTGTGCACGCTACTTGGCACCCTTTCTCCTCCTGCTGTCTACACTACACTCTGCATTTCCTTCATTCTTTCCATTTGTTTTCGCCTGTCTCTTGTCGCTCTTTCGCTCTCTCGTTGCTTTCTTTATGCTTCTTTTTCTGGGTCTCTTGCGCCTCACTCACAATCCATTTCCATTTCCATTTCCATTTCCATTTGTGGGCGAAGGTCGCTCAACTTGCGAGAGTATCTGCATGGCAAAAGACGCCCTAATAGCTGGGCGTGGCTCAGTGCGTATGTGTGTGCACACACACGATTGAACAATAAGCCGCTTTCAATAACTTGTCCAAGAAACGTTGGGAAGAAGGAGTGCCATGAGGGGGGCAGGACCTACATTAAATCGAGCACAAAATTTATGCCACCGAAATTGAAAAAATGCAAAACGAATGGCGGATATATATTAGAAAATAATATTAAAAAAAATAAGAACATTGAGGGAGTTAAGCATAGGGGGACTAACATTAATTTATTGCTTAAATAAATTGCATTTAAATTTAAATTGTATTTTTTGTGCCACGGGTGCTCCAGTGGAATGCATTGCACATTCGATTGATTTTCTGTTTTATGGCAGTACCCAAAAATGTAACACTACATAATCATGAACAGAACATGAACTATTATTAACATTTAAAACATTTAAAATAAATTATAAATATCTCTAAATGTTCTATCCCTCTTCTAATTGCAGAAATGACGCAACTTCCTAACCGCAACAAAATTGTTTGACAACTGTTTTTCCATACACGAAAAAACGTTCGTTTTTTGGAACCAAAATTAAACAAAAACTTTGTTGGGCCAAAAACAACAAGCAAAATGTTTGAATAAGAAAATCAATTTAAGGTCCCAGAAGTAAATAACACATGCAGTAAATAAATTATATTTAAAGTCCCCCAAACACAACAAAAAATACATATATAAAATATAAAATCAAATCAGCTATAATAAGGAGAAGAACAGCAACAACAACAAGAAAAACACCAAAACCCAACCAATTTTTGAACATTGTAACCGACCGACAAAACAGGCAAACATTTGCATACATTTTATGCAAAATAGAAAATGTTAAATTCCCACAACGCTGCAAACCAAATTACGCACAATAAAAATAATAATAGAAACCACACAAATAAAAACAGCAACAGCATCTGCATCCGCATCGGCATCAGCAAAAGCAACAATAGTAACAATAAAAGCCACAAAATGCATTTGAAAAGTGCAACAGCAACAAAAGCAGACACAGTAAAAACAAAAACAACAGCAACACACAAACTGAAGCATAAGTTAAGCAAATTGTATGGATACTACGGATACGGATACAGATACGGTTGGATGCAAGTCTTCCTACTACTAACACTCTACGTGATTGGTAATCAAAGTGCCTGGCAGGAGAACATACGACCAAAACTCTATGTGGAATTAGGTGAGCGATATATTAAAAATATTTATATGCAGAGGATATATTGGGTATTATTCATTTGGGTCATTTCGTTAAGGTTTCTCTTGTCACATCTACCCTGAAACACGCCTTAAAATTGGGATAATTTTATTGCCATAAAACCTTCCCGTATTTAACATTCTATCAATCATAAAAAATGTACATATTTATTGCAATTTCTTCTGCTCATAATCGAATTTATGTGACGTCTTACGATGTGTCTGTCAGCTGTGGGACCTGTCAGCATGTGACTGAAGTCTGGAGCTGAAGTTCCAATCACTGCAACGAGATTAAAACTAAAGCAAATGTCAATTTAAATTATGACTAATAAAAGATGCAGCCAGAGACAGCAAAAAGAAAGAAGAGAAATGTGTGGTGGAAGCAAAACGAATCGAAGTCAACTGCCAAAAACTTTAATGAAAATTTTTTATTTTCTTTTATGTGAGAGCACAGAATGTAATTTCACTGCACACATGGAGAGAGGGTAGTGGTTAGTTTCTATATTCAAGTTTTGACATTCAAAAACTTGCCCATCCATCCCCCCAAAAGTATCCACTTTTGTCAGGTGCTGAAGAAGAAGTTTCGGAGCCCAAGAATCGAAGCAATAACTTGTGTAGAGTAGAGAGAGATACAGAGAGAAAGAGAGATCTGAGAAACATGGCTACTAATGCACATACACACAGTTTTTGAGATATATCCACACGACATCCACACGTTTTGCTATCTTAACTATAAATAACAAAAATTCCAGGCAAGACATTATTTGCATAAAAGTGGCGAAGCTTTCAGGAGTGCTGCTGCTGCTGCTGCCTTCTGCCAGTAGCTAGCACGGTGTCCTGCGTGTGTCCTCAAATGTACGTCTACTTGCGACATCATCATCATCGTCATCGTCAGGAGTAACGTCGTTGCATATGCAAATTTTTGCTTGATTTTTTGTGTCTTTTCATTTTGTTTTTTTGGGCTAAAAAGTTGGGCAACTCACGTAGCTTGAACCTCCAAATGTAGCAGTATGTATACCTAAATATATATATGTACCTAGTGCCAGGTACATATGTATCTGCAGTGGAGTTTGTTTTGTGCTGCAAGATGAAGCAGAAAAACTGGGGAAGTTGCCAGCAGCAAGTGAAGTTTTTAAGGAAGTACGAACTAAATGCTAAAAATATATTTTGCACGCTTCAAAAATTACGTTATTAAATGTGCATTTGGCGCATACTTAAATCTGTGGCACAACAAACACATTTAAGGGTAAGACAGGAGGCTTTTTCCCCCAGGCAAAGGACTAAAACGAAATAAAAGTCAAAAGTGTTTCCATTCAGGAAGTCATACAAATGAATGTCCTACCATTTTCCAAGAAAATGGTGCCAGAATTTCACACATGCATGAAAATACTGCAGTAGGATGTAAATTAAATTAAATGTCAGCTCGATATACATTTATAACCCGCACTTTGTGGGCCAAATGGCAGCCATAGCTAGATGGAAACTGGCGAAAAATAACCCAAAAAGTAGTAAAAATTTCAATTTGAAATCAACGGTAGCAAGTTTATAAGTTCTGCAGAACTGAAGGTAATTTCCCCTCTCTGATAAAACGATCCAATTTTCATTATACTCAATATCTCATTAGGGAAGAAGAATTTCATTTCGTTGCAGCAACTGGAACCGTGTGCGGAATGAAACGTTTTTATTATTAGTTTAGTTCTCGCTCAAAATCAACTCTGAGGATAATCTGTGAAACGAACCCGTTGATGCCACGCCCATGCCACTGCTAAACCAATTACTTAGCTTCATTCCGCTGCCAGAGACCTCCTCCAGCGACCTCCAGGGACGGCGTGCGCACGTGTTAAAGTTCATTTAAAATCCATCAGGGAGCAGCAGGAGCAGGAAGTGGAAATCATCGTAAAAAAGCGTTCTTCAAACGTGGCGACACTCCATAGTGGGGAATAGAAGGGTGACAACTTCATCTTGGAGGGGCCACTCGTGCATAACAGGAAAATAAGGTTAATGGGGAAATTATGAATGCGCCAAATGAGCAAAGGGAGGCGCTGGGTGGGAGGCTGGGAGAGTATCGTAGGGGTAATGCCATTCATGTGCCATACCCATTGTGTTGGTCAGACCAGAGAGACCAGAAACAAACATCAGGCGTCTCTGTAGGGTCAGCCCATAAAATATTACAACCCTGCGTTCCGTGCAGAGTTGCATTTGACAGCCGCAAGTGGTTGTCATTAGAGGAGCTGCGACAAAACGGTCATTTAAATGCACTCTTCTGCTGCCGGTGCCGCTGCCGCTGCCACTGCTGATGCTGCCACTTCAGCTTCTTATTCTTTCATCTTTCCCCCAGACTCTCCCGAAGTGGGTGGCGCACCACTTGCTGCAAAATTACGTCTATCAAGTGGCGGCAGTTAATGTTGATCGTTTTGTGGCACTCTCTTGCGTTGCATCCTGCACACACACACACACTCGCATCGCTCTAAAAAAATGTCCCCCTTTTTCTCTCTGTAATTTTTGTGAAATGTTTCTTATGCTTATTTCTGGATACGTGCAAGGACTTTCTGATTACAGCACAGCCAGGCAATCAGGACGAGGCGTGGTGTATGCCTTGCTGCTAGGCAGCAAGTGGCAGGGAAAAATCGAGACAGCGCTCAGAGAAAAGCGAACGAAAGTGGAATTCACAATATTCAAAGGTGGAGGGTTTATGATATATATTTAGCTGTATGGAAAACAACATTTTGAGGAATGAATTTCAAGTATGCGGACATATTTTTTGATGATCAGTCCACACTATATTCTTCCCTCACCATTAATCCAGGAGTCATTGACTATAACTTCCCCTTTTGACAGTCATATCAAATTTTAGACAGTCCAAAACAGGAGAGTCTCAATACAACAGCAAAATGAATAAGTCCCATTGGTTGGATCCAGATTTGAAGGCTTCCTTCACTCCCGTCGAGTGTGGCACCACCATCATGGCCTTCGAGTTTGCGGATGGCGTGGTGCTTGGAGCCGATTCCCGCACCACCTCCAATTGCATGGTGTCCAATCGTGTCACGGACAAAGTGAATCGAATCACGGACAACGTTTACTGCTGCCGCAGTGGCTCCGCAGCGGACACCCAGCAGCTCGCTGAGGAGGTCTCTATTCTGATGTGGCGCCGCAAGATGCACACGGGCCAGCAGACTTTGGTGCGCGATGTGGCCGCGGAGTTCCGCGACAAATGCTACACAGGTCGCAGATGCCTATTGGCCGGCATTATTGTGGGTGGCTGGGACGATCTGCATGGCGCACAGGTGTATAACATTTCACTTGGTGGCATGATGACTCGCGAAAATTTCAGTTATGGCGGCACGGGATCCATTTACATTAGCGGCATGCTGCGGGATGCCTATCGGCCGAATATGCAGAAAGAGGATCTGGTGCTGCTCGTCCAGTCGGCTCTGAAGCAGGCCATTCATCACGATAGCTTCTCCGGCGGTGTGGCGCGCATCGCAATTATCACCAAGGAAGGCATCGAGCGACGTGTGTACTACAACACCAGCACGGGAAAGGCACAGGCCACCGGCACGGATGGAATCTTGGGCAGTTCAGAGGGCAAGAAATCGCGCGAGTCGTAAAATAGATTTTTGTGTAGTTTTTTTTTTTGTTAATTAAAATCATGTTAAGATTACCCAAGGAACGTGTCCAATGGGAAATTTTCTGCAGAGCATTTGGAACGGGGAAAGAGTGGAAGAGTGGAACATTGATGTCCCTCTTCACACCTTATTCCAGTTGAGCTTGGGGCGACCATTAAGGTATTTTCTTTATTGGCATCTTCCGCGCAATTGAACTAGCCCCGGCCCTCGTTCCGGAGTAAATGTCTTGGCTGCCAGATGTTGACCAGAGTTGCCACCATCGAGTTTAAGTTACATGAACTTCCGTTTGCAGCCAATTACGCGTTGAAGAAGCTTGCGATGGCTGCAGCAGGAGGTCTGGCGAACAGTTACTTCCTGTGGCATGGGGAGAGGCATTCGATGGGGATGTCCAAGTGCAAGTCACCTAAAAATAGTTTTGCCTCGAGTCCGCGTCTGCGTCCGTCCCGTCATTAAAACTGTCTGCAACGTGTTGGAACAGCAAACATAACTGTTAATTGCCATTTGTGTGCGGAGCGAGACTCCGCCAGTCCTCCACTCCACATTGACTCGATTCCGCTACGTCTTGAGGTTCTCATTTTCATATTTCGCCGCATGCGCCTCATTACAATTTAATTCAGAATGTAATTGCAGACGTTGAGTGGAAGTTGGACTGGGAATGGGAATGAGAAGGGGTGTATGTAGATGGGGCATGTGGGGATGGCGGGCAAGAACTGTAGGCAACCACCGACTTGGCAAAAGTTTTCTTGCATTTTGCGGCACTTGACACGCGCCTCGCATAATTTCCACACGTCTTATGTGCCGCACAAAGCTGCACTCCACCACACACCGCTCCACTCCACGCATACGTACGCTGCTCTCTCCCCCCCTAGTCTAGTCTCGTGCCTTACATCCTCACATTGTATCTGCATTTCCATATGCATATTTTTTGGCAGTCGCTGTCAGAAAGGGCGGAAATGCGACAACTAAAAAAAAAGTATATATGTAGTTTCCCCCTTGGGACATCGGTTGCTTTTGTTCTCCAAAGACACCCTCCGCTGTGTGTCTCTTTGGCTTCGCTTCCTCTTCACTTGTTTCTCTCTCTCTCTGCATTTACATATTACTTTGATTCCATTTATGTTTCTGTTTAATAAATTGTGAACGTGAATTGATAATCGCTGTTGTCGCCGTTTTGGCTTTGTCTGTATTTAGTTTTAGTTGAAAAATATTTTATGTGAGATGCATAATTAAGGCGAAGATAGCTGGTGGACGGTGTAATGCCATTTATGAAATAGTTTTGGAGTTCTGAACCAAAGAGGAAGGGGACTGATTGTAAAGGTATTCCCTTTGGAAATCGAATTCGAGATGTGGATGTACGAACTTCCCGAAAGCAAAGAGCAAGCAGAGACTGAGATCCTCATTATTTGTACGATGAAAATCTTTTAAAAGATGCCCCAAGCATGCCACAAAGCCTTTCACAAGACACTTTCACACTCCTTTTAGCCCATTTAAAGTCCATTTTCAAATACAATTAATATCAGAAAATGTTTCCCCAGTCTGCTGCAGTCTCTGGGCTCAGTTTTAAATCGAGAGGAACATTTGGCCGTGTAATTTGAAATGGGAATTACAAATCACTGGGTTGTGCTTTAAGCACAGAAAATAAAACGAGATAGAGAGAGAGAGAGAGAGAGAGAGAGACAGAGACAGAGACAGAGGTGGAAAAAGTAAATCCAAAAGGAACACCCAATCAATTATATAGACAGCAATTTTTACAGCCCCCACTGGGCAATGTCGTTCAGCTCCCGAGCCCCCCGTCCATTGCTCAGTTCATTCTGCACATTCTGGTCATTCGAGCCATTCAGGGCATCCATCTCATACCCCTTCCAGCCCTGCCCTGTCGACTGCCGCTGCAGTGTCTGCAATTGGAACATTTCATGGATTAAACGTTTTCTTAATTGAGTGCCTCATTTTCCGGTTAGGAAGTTTTTCTCATGCCGAGAAAATAAATTACACACATGAGTGCAATTTGGTAGCTGGCAGGCAGGCAGCCAGGCAGGCAGGCAGGCAGGAGCAGCAGGACTCGTTTCAGGTTCAGGAAAGCAGCCTCCAACTTTAACCTGGCGCTCAACTGAACAATCACCTCATAATGGCGTTAATCAAAAAGTTGCCACGACTGCGACTGTTGCAGTTGCATCCCGTTGATGCAGCAGATGGAACATTTAACGATTGAACCCTATACATGCGCGTACATCTCTATGCACATGCTTTTATTCAGGGGTTCAATGGCTCTTGGTCTTGGGTCTTGGTCACCAGGGAAATTAGTAATATGACAAGTGCAGCAGCAGCAGCAGCAGCAGCAGCAGTCAGCAGGCAGGCAGGCAGCAAGAAGCAGGCAGCATCATCATCCCCCATTGCGTCGGGGAACAAATGAGCGCCTGGTTGCGCCACCATTTTTACACATTTTACTTATTCCCTTTGTTCTTCATGCTATGGTCATGGTCCTGCTCCTAGCTTTTTGTCTCTATAAATTTGCCACTGATCGTCGTCCAGCTGTCCAGCTGTCCTGTGTCCTGGCACTTGGCCAGTAATTGAAATGGCGTAACGACTAAAAATTGAGCAGAATCTCTCTCTCTCTCTGCCTGCACTTACCCCCTTTACTCCATGGAAAAGTTAGAGGGGGTTTACATAGAGGTGGACAAAAAAAAAAGAAAATTGTGGCGGGCTGGGCATGTGGCACTAGAAAAGTTTTGCTCCTCTCCTGGCACAAGTAAAAAGTTAATATTGATAAATTGATTAAAAGTTTAATAATTGTACATTTTGTTTTTGCCCCAAATGGGCGGGGCATTGGCATGGTGTGGTGCGGGGCAATCATAAAACTTATTGTCGTTGGGTCGAAAATTAAAAATTAAGAAAAAGTGAAAACAAATTATCTGAGAAGAAATGGGAGATAGGACTTAACCTCTGCCATTATATATACATATATATTTCTTATATACATATATTTCTTTAAAGCTTAAACCAAAAGATAGGAATATGCTTTTAAATGCCCCACCATACCATTGCGGTTCTCTCTCTCTCTCTCCTCTCTCCCCCTGAGCGTATAGGGGGATTTTGGCACCGGTCGATCAAGTGCCGAAATAGCTCAGTTGGGAGAGCGTTAGACTGAAGATCTAAAGGTCCCCGGTTCAATCCCGGGTTTCGGCAATCACTAATCTTTTTTTTCTCTCTTGTTATTTTTATTTTCCTGTTCATTTCGGATCCTGTAAGTACTCACATTCCACGCTGGAATATAATTACATATGCAAAACATGCCGTCAGTGTTCTTATCGGATTCAGGCACTTCCTTACTTTGTTCTCATTACAAAAAGTAAATGTATGTCATGCCTGCGTGCGCCAGTGGAAGTCGTCGAGTTCCGACAACAATTCACTCACTGCACACACAAATCCCAATATAAAAGAACTTTTAACCAAAAAACATAAAACTTGTTCCCGAACAATTGCAGAAAATGCTGTGGCTGTGGTGCGCTCTCTCCGGCTGAGGCTGAGGACGAGGAGGAGCAAAAGCACAGAAATCAGCATGACAATTATAATGATAATGAGGAGGGGGGATGCTACTATGCAGTGGCAGGCAGGATCTTGATGAAAATGTCATTAAGTGATGGCAAGGAATGCGCGCTCAACCAGCCCCCCCCCCCAAGCACTGCGTCAGTGAACCTGCGATGGGGCAACGTCATCATCCTGGAGCTTTCCCCACCCATACTTCTAGCTATCTCTTTCTCAGTTTTTCGTGTTGCTCTCTGTCTCACTCTCAATCGCATCTCATCCGTGTCTCGTTGTCCTTGTCGTCGTAGTTGGCAGCCCAACATTGAATTCAATTAAAAAAGTTTAGCTTGATTCCCTGTTTTCTATGCACTTTCAAAGGGTCTATTGGTTTTGTGCAGAAGGTTGTCAGGCAGTTGCCTGAAGGAGTTCCTTAGCCGGATCAAGATTGGAACACTCTAATATATAAATCAATTTTAAAATAAAACCATCTGATAGGATATTCTAGGCTTCGACTGTCGTTTAAAAGTTCTCTTATTATGCTCTCATGAACGTAAATACATCTCAACACAGACATTCTTTTGTTCTCTAATTCATTTAATTTACAGGAAAATGAGCTGCTCAACAGTTGGCCATACGATAATTGAAAGCTTCAAGATTTTTGCATGTGTCGGGAGCAGCGCTGTTGCTGTTGAACAGTTGAACTATGTTGACGTTCATTTATGCCTGACTGTGAATTGAGAAGTTGTTCGGGGGCCAATCCACAAATGAGCGAAAAATTAAATGCTAGTAATGAAGAATATTTTGAGCTTATGCTGGCACATATTTTTCAGACTAATGCCCTATTTTTGTATGTGCCTGATCCTAATTACCCATTGGGCTGTGTTCTCCAGAGTTTATGCGCTAGGATTTTCTCTAGGCACTTAAATAATAAACAGCATCCTGGACAGCAATAACTTTGCCTTCCACTTGAATATTGCCAGCCATAAAACATAAATCACACTTTTTGTCTTGCACATAAAACTTCTTCAAGTTGAGGCCCCCCGCGCCACGCGCGACTGTCAGCTGCAGGAGCCACCAAGTTGTTATATTTTATTTTCTTGAGCAAAGAAGTAAACGCGTTACCCCCGCATTGGGACTGCTGTCGTCGTTTGTGTCACTCTCCTGACTTCTTCCTTTTGCTTTTATTTTTTTTTGCGGCCGGCAACGCTAATGATCTGCGGCAATGGCGCCCACGTAGCCACCTCAGAGTGAACCGCAGCCACATCCTCCTCAGACGTATCCGCATCCGCACCTGCATCCGTATTGTCGATTGTGTTTTCGTTACGGCATCAACGTTGTTGCCTCACGTGACTGCCATTTAGTTGCAATCGAAGCCGGAGATGTGCCACTTACGATAGGCAATAATAGAACGATTTTTGTATTATTGATGACTGCTAGGGATGCTAAAGGGAGTGCTTTTCTCTTTGGGCAACCCTTTCATAATTGAAACATCTGTTTTTTTGTTTGGCACAGACATCATTTATCATTGCCAAAGACATTATTAAGACTGGAACGGACAGGCCTAGTCGGGGGGATACATTATAAACCATTACACGCGTCTCATATATGGATGCCTATGGCGTAATTGTGCGAACAACCCTCGTTGCGATGACGTCTCAAGCCGAAGCTCTCGACGTACCGACCATCATCATCACAGGCGACAGCAGTTGACATCCACGAAGGCCCACGCAAGCTGCTGCTCACTTTTGTTCCCCCGTGAAAATCAGTGGACGTCATCGGGGCGGCCTACCACTTGTTCACCCCTTTGCTCCTGCCGCTCCACGCTGAAACAAATGTCTTCCGTCTCCGGCTTGGCTCCGTCTCCGTCTCCGTCTCCGTCTCCGGGCTTCTGTTTTTGCCTTCTTTTTTCTTGTATCCTCTGGCTTGAGCCAAATCCGTTGTAGAGTTTTTTTTTCTTAGGCGGCTATGCTGTTCCTTTTGTCGAGATTTATCGCCTTTTATTCATCATTGTCACTGTGGAGGGGGTTTGAGTGGGTGCTGCCACTGCCACACGTTTGCTGCGGTGACAACGTGAAACCGCGTCAACGCAATTTGCCGCCATGTCGAGATCGAAGTCGAAGCCGTAGCCGAAGCCGAAGTTGTGTGAGGAGTGGAGGGCCTGTGCGAAATCTTTGTGACGCCTTTTGGCCTTCATGATGAATTATTGAGACGCATGTCGCTGTGACAATCGGCAAATCAGCCAGGAGCCCTGGTGCCCTGGAACCATGTGGAGCCCTCTAACAGGGGTCGGAGTATTTCTATATCTATCTCTATCTCTATCTGTAGCTCTCCCTGTCTCTGTTTGACTGATGATTTGTTGAAGGGACTTCCGTTTTAGGGTCGCTACTGCCTCTGCATTTCAAGTGTATTAGATTTAAAAGTCATTTACGAGTTTTGACCTAATCCGCTTACCATCCAAAGTGTTTGTCACACGAATAGCAGATGTCTCTGCCTCCGCTTGAGTGTGTGTATTTGTATTGGCATTAGTCCTAAATATATATCTTCCATCTCTCTGTGCTTCTGTGTGTCTCTCTGTCATTACATTAATTTGCGGTATTATGTCCTGGACTGGACTGGACTGGACTGGCCGCCTAATGAAAGTCTCCTGTAAAATCCCATGGCAAAAGCAATTTGTAAAAGCATTTTGCAATTTGCCCCCTCAAGCACTATTCAACAGGAATAAGGGTGGAGGGTGCGTGGACAGAAACAGAAGGAAAAGATAAAGACAGCAGGCTTGGGGGAGCTGCCAGTGGAATGAACTTTAAGTTCCTAAAGTTTTAGGTAAAATGCTTGGTCACTTATTCGCTACCCGTGGTATTTATACTCGTTACATTATACACCGTATTTTTACTCGTTAATTTAAGCTTTATTCATTTTCTGGCATTATTTTCTAAACATAGTTCCCTAGCTTTTCCATTTGCTGTTCTTTAATTCCCACTTTCGGATCTTTTCTACAACTCTGCCGTTGAATATTATTTGCACTATACTCCAAATTCATAGCTCAGTTTAAGCAGAAATAGTTTTGCTTTCTTTCATATTTTACAGCTCGTTAGCTCGTTTATAGTTGGATGATTTTTTTCGCATACATATTTAATGGATGGCCAACGGGACAGAAACTGGTGACAGCTTTTCACTTTTCACTTTTCACTTCGGTCAAGGCTGCTGTTGCCTGGCACTGCCACTACTTGGGCTGTCATCGTTTTCAGCCATAGTTTTCTATGGTCCTCCTCCCATTTGGCTATGGCATCTGAATCGAATGTCTGCCGGCAGTTATCGCTGTGGCATTCGGCTACTTTGATGTTGAAGTTGAAGCTTAAAGCCACGGCGCGCTGACCAACTCGAGAGTCAGCGTTTGAGGATCTTGTTTTTTTTTTACGAGCACTCGTATGCCTCGCTTTGCTTACGTCTCTCTTTGGGGGCCATGTCTGCAGCTTATGGTGCTGGCAGAGAGGTATAGCAGCTGGTGGTAGGCTGGCAAAAACACATTTTAGAATTTTTAATGTGCCGCCTTCTGCCTTTTATGGCGACAGAAGCAGAAACTCTGTTCGAAACCGCAGCAGCAACCAAGAGGAAGCTCTGGCTCTCAACGTGTACACCCAGAAGATATACCCGTATTTTTCCACCGTCTCTCTCTCCTCCAGTTAACATGCACATGACATTTGTCTTTAGACGTTAATCTCATTAAATAAGCAATGTGGTGCAGACCAGGCAGACCAGGCAGACCAGGCAGGGGCTTTGTGCTACCACACTCTTTGAGTCTCTCTCTCTCTCTCTCTCTCTCTCTGGCCTGTGTGCCATTGTGCGTGCTGAAATGTGAGCTACTTTTGCCGCCTGAACAGTGGCTAAAAGTTGACTAAAACTATAAACTAAATTTATACAAAAATATATATAAAAAAATGTAAAGAATAATGAAACGAACGCCAAGAGTTTTTCCCACAAAAAAATGGACAAAAAATATAGTTTGGCTCCACTGTGCCGTGTGATTTGTGAGCCTGCAATATTGGGTCTGTCCTCCTCCTCCTGCGACTGCGACTGCGACTGCGACTGCAGTCTCTCCGGCTGTCTGACAGTTTGGCTCGTACCGCTCTTAATGCAAATACAGAAAAGGGGGGAGCCAAAGCGCATTAAGAGCGGCACAAACGAACGCTCGCAAAGTAAGCTGTAGGTGGTTGGGGGCATGCTGCAGATACTATGCATACTAGCAGATACAATGTGCATCTTTTATGACATGGCAACGAGAGTGACTCCTCCTCCACCATCTCCTACTCCTCCTGGCTGGCTGGCTGTGTGGGGAAGTCTGCATTAGGCTCTCTCGCTTTGTGTCTGGGCAAATGTTTCGCCATCGATTAGTTTGCTGCCAAATTGCCAAAAGCCGCACATTGCCAGGGAGAAGTGCAGGATGCGAGAAAGCCTGGACCTACCTCCTGACCTGTCCTGGCTTGTGCCCAAAAACTTTTGAGGCGGTAGGGCGGAGGACGAACATTTGCATTTTGTGGGTGATGTGCCGGATGCCGGATGTGAAATGGCGAAATGGTAATTGGTAATTCTATAAAGGCAGGGTTTAATTGATGAATTACTGTTGCACTTTAGAAACCAAAATCCCCAAATGTATCTTTGAAATACACG